TGCTGGCTAGAGGCGGGCACGGAGGAAGAGAGGGAAAGGCAAGGGAAGGCTCCGGCACTATCGGTGTTTACCGATATAACGATACATGCCGCCATGTTGTGACGTATCATTGGGGAATCGCCACCGCGTCCACCACAAAATGCATTGCGATATTATAACGCGGACAAAATATTATAAATAATAATAAAATATTTTTATCTTCACACCCTCCACCTCACCCTCTTCCTCTGCTAAAACATTCTTATTCCTTCTCTTCCTGCCTGATCGTCGGAGCGCTAAAGAGGTAGATACCCCAGTTAAGTTCCATTTATTTGATCGAATAATCATATCTCCTGAGCAGGACATTTCAGAGGGGGAGAAGGAGAGGGATCCTCCAGGACTTCAGCGGAAACGCTCTCCTCTTCAACTTCTTCCACTTCTTTTTCCTTTCTTCGAAATCGATGGGGCGGTTGAACGCAATTTTGTTTATATGCATTTGAATGAGATCATTCACCTCATCGGCAATCTCAATGAGGTGATGGAATAACTATTTGATTGACATGTAATTGAGTGAGATCAATTATAATAGTATCACTCTGAACCGAGAAAGAGGCAGTCTCTTCAACTCTTTGCAGTTCTTTATCTCTTATATTATAATATAACTGCACTGTAAAAAATTATCACTTCATTTAATCACAGAAATGTGCAAAAGTATTCTATCATTTAGCGTTAATGATAAAATATTTTTGCACGTTGGGGAAAAAAAATCACTCACGTTGTAATATGTCTCGCGCGCGGACAAAGACTGATGCTGAGAATCAACGGCGATACGATGATGAAAAGTACGTGAAACCGGAATTATCGATCGAACAATCCTTTGATCAATGCCACTTCTATAGAATATTTTGCTGTTTATATTGATGAAACAAATCGAATAATGTGCGCATGTAACAATTCGTCCTATCGTCTACATGTTTATGTCGACGTTTTTAAGAACTCTGTGTAACAACATCAATTATTTTACAAAAATTCACAACAGAGAATGAAGTAAATACCAAAGATTCATTATCACGATAATTTCATAACCTTAAAAGAATTAAATTATTTGTTAAAAATATGTGAACTAAAAATATGTGAACTAATTTGCTATATTTGTGTCAAGATGTGTTAAGCAATTGAAAAGTATTCTATTTATATAAATAACAATCTGTTCTATTTTAATATTTAAATTCAGTGTACTTACAAGTTATTTCTCTTATCTACATATGATACACGTATTGCTTGACATGACAAGTATAACGACAAATGAAATCGACAACAATCAATTTATCGCTGCTATTTGGGCAGATGACTAATCTCTAGTAAAGGTTCTTTTATTTGAAGGCTCTTTTATCCTTTAATCACAGAAATGTGCAAAAGTATTCTATCATTTAGCGTTAATGATAAAATATTTTTGCACGTTGGGGAAAAAAAATCACTCACGTTGTAATATGTCTCGCGCGCGGACAAAGACTGATGCTGAGAATCAACGGCGATACGATGATGAAAAGTACGTGAAACCGGAATTATCGATCGAACAATCCTTTGATCAATGCCACTTCTATAGAATATTTTGCTGTTTATATTGATGAAACAAATCGAATAATGTGCGCATGTAACAATTCGTCCCATCGTCTACATGTTTATGTCGACGTTTTTAAGAACTCTGTGTAACAACATCAATTATTTTACAAAAATTCACGAGAATGAAGTAAATACCAAAGATTCATTATCACGATAATTTCATAACCTTAAA